AAGTCTTCAGATGCTGTTGTTTAACAGGATGCACATCTAATGCAGACGGTATCTTCTGAAATGGAGATAAGAGGGGGTTAGTGGTTTCGTTTTCAAAGCTGCTTCGTGAGCTTGACATTACAAATCTGTCCGCATTCATAATTTGGACTGTGGACAAATTGCAGATGGATGTGCAGGCTGCTCGTAATTTATCATCGAAAATTAGTGGTTAGGCGGTTCCTCTGGGAGATGTAAACAGGGCTACCTGTGTTGTGTGTGTGTGAGCGGAGAGGCCTGTTCTCCATCTTTGTCTCAGCAGCCGCCTGCTTTTCACTCGCTGTTCTTAGGCTGAAAAGTGTATGGGCTGAATTTGAAAAGTAAAGCAGCCTAATGAATTGCATTAGAATTTCTTTTAACAACATCTCACTTTTTCGGCTTCAAATTTGTGTAAGATGGTCATTAAAAATACATGAGTGAGATGGCAAATTATGAGATGAATTTGAATCCGCATTTGTAAATGCATTGAATTAGTGCAAAACTGGTGAAAATGATCAACGAGAAAATCAGGTTGGGTATTAAGTGGCCAGAATTTTATCTTATATTTTATACACTTACATTTTAAACACTCTTTCTGAAGAGATGCAAGAATGAAAGCTTGAAGGCCATTGCTAATCATGTGAAATGTAGTAAAAAATAATAATAATAAATCAGGATATTTGTGCCACTTTAGAGGGTTTAAAACACCAGTATATACTTACATTTTATCTTTATTTTATATCAAAATGTATCAGATCAGATAACTTTGTATTTTAAAGGATCTTGAAGAAGAAATAAAGCAGTTAAAGATGGCATCTGCAAATGCATAGTGCATTTCAGTCAAACTGAATATTACTTTAACATATAATATTACATTTTGAATTCTAATACTGATTTATTCACATATTTTTTTTCTGTCATGAATATATTTATTTTTTGAAAAGGAGGCTTATCCCCTAACAGTGTTGGGGAAAGTTACTTTTGAAAGTAATGTATTACATTATTGAGTTACTTCCCCCAAAAATAACTAGTTGCATTATATACTTTTTATGGGAAGTAATGTGTTAGGTTACTTTTGAGTTACTCTTTCAAACCTGCCTGAGGCTTGATCTCTTTCAGAATAATAACAATAATAATAATTAATATTAGAGTGATATCTGAAGGATCATGTGACTCTGAAGACTGTAATAATGAAGCTGAAAAATCATCTTTAAAAACACTGGAATAAATAATTAAATTATTTTATAAACTACTTTTGAACATTATTTTATAGTGCAATAACATTTCACAATTGTATAATTTGTACTGTATTTTTTGATTAAATAAATGCAGTCTTGGTGAGCAGGAGAAGCTTATTTTAAAACATTTAAAAATCCTACTGACCCCAAACCTTTGACCAGTAGTGTACATTCACAATTTCCATGCGACACATTACATAGGTTAACCTTTTCATATAGTACCTGCCTGAGGCTTGATCTCTTTCAGAACTTGCAGGGTATTTTTCTTTTTAAATAGAGGAGCTCTTCGTTTAACGACACCTGTATAACATACACACTCATTTATCTTTAATAAAATAAAATAGAATAATGTTACTTTCTGAGAATTTACTGATGCTTTACATGCCATAAATACAGATTAATGAATGTTTAAAGCGATATGTTTGCTACTTTAGTATTTTTTTATTATTAGTTCAGGTAAATCACTGACCACAGAGACAATCTCCTTTTCTACCATGTGTTAGAAATAATGAGAATACCTTCCATCACAGAAATGTAAAGCTCTGCCTTCTTGGTTCTCAAAGGGAGTTCATTCTCTAAGTGAGTTTGCTAGAGCAGTGACCACACTATTTTAATTCATCAAATACATTTTTAAAAGCGAATTGATTGATCTAAAATCTCAAATAAGTAACTCAAATATTATTACTTATTTTTTTTAAATTCATTACTTTAGTCGTTACTTAGAAAAGTAATATTATTATATAACTCGCGTTGCATGTAATGCATTACCTTTAACACTGTCCCCTAATTCTATCTGTCACTGGTGGATGTACGAAAGAAATTATTTAAATTTCTTACTAAATCAAAAACTTTTGAATTGGTGTGAGATTGTCTTGAAGTATGACGATAAAAAGATGACAATCAAAAACTAAATAGCAAACTAAATTAAAATTTCGTTTAAAAACATCCCGCTTTTGTCCTTCAGGCCTGTCGATTTCCCGAATTTCTCCCTTCGTCCTCCTCCCAGATTCATGTGCACTTCAGAAATCCGCACCTGCTCGCTGTGTGGCTCTAAGTGTTGCTATGCTAGTGTTTTTCTTCTTTTTTTCTCCAAATCATGCAGCGTGTTGAGTAGAGAGAGCATGAAAGCAGTGACAGGAAGCTGAAGAGTGTAAAGTGGCAGTCAGAGAGGTGTTTGTCTAGATCTTATGATTAGTATGGCGCAAGGATAAGCTGTCAAATGTAACATCAACAGAGCTGTCTGTCAGGGGGTCCCGAGGGGTCTTTGTCAAGGGCCTCTACTGTCTTTGATAAAACTCGGCGTTAGGCTACAAAGGGGCCGATTGTGGCTGAAAGGTGAGGCTGAAATTTCAAAATGGATGCAGAGGGAGCGAGTCCATCCAGAAGTTTGTGGTTTGAGCCGCTGTTTATCTAGGTGACAGAATCAACCAGTAGATCTGCAGGGCCTCTTGCTCTCATGGCTGTGCAAATATCTCTCAAAGCCAAAAAAACCGAGCCCTCCCTCCTTCCTCCGTGCTTTTTTTTTTCTTCTTCTCCTCTCCTCTCCCTTCAGACTTTGTTTCAAGTCTGCCGGGTCTCATTCTCAACCTCACAAGTGCTGTATTGTATATTAATAACAGTGCCTTGCTGTTGGGTCCCGGCCTCACATATGGATGTTTATCAAAAGTTTGGCTGCTTACAGGACAGAACACGCCGAATGAGAGTGAGGTGCCTCGTGTGTGGCCGTCCTGGATGATTAAATTAAAGTCTGCCTTTATTTTCGGCACTCGAGAGTATAGTGGGACTGTCATGGGACATAGGTGAATGCTTAAACGGGCCCCAACATTCATTTCCCTTTATTTTAACAAGCTGCCAAATAACAAAATGCTAAATGACCTGACCCTGAACTCTCAGAATATGTGTGATTATGTCTCGAGTTCCGCACCATTTGTGCTTTATTTCAATTTGCAGCAGTGATGTGCTCAAGTCAGGGGGTTTTCTTCATGACTTATTAGAAGGCAGATGCATTTCTTAAGGTAAAATGCATGGATAGATGAGTTCACTTTGTGTAACTTTAATTAACATAAAGTGTCTAGTGTATTTCTGGGTTACCCTCATAAACTATGGGACCCAGTACAGAGTCCATGATGTCATTTACCCGTTCTGTCATTTTAAAGGTCTGTACTGGCCCAATAGCCCCATAAGTGGTTCTGTTATGATCAGTTGCAATAGAATAACTTTTGTATAGATTATGATGGAGACATTTTTTTCGTATTATTACTGACATGTGCAGGAACCACCAAAATTAATAACATCAACCTAGACCACACTGAACCTAAAGGGACACTTTCAAATTTGAGTCTACACAAATTTTACCCTTTTAAAGGGTTTATTAAAACACTGACAACATATACACTTATTTAATCACTTTCAACAGTGTTTATGAAAATTCAAAGGGTTTTCTTTAAAATGATACCAAACTTTTGCATTTACACATCTGCATGTGAATTTGGGAAGCTTTTTAATTTGGTTTGGAAAAATCCAGTTGGAAACCCCGAAATTTAACCCAAAAAGTGTAAAAATTGTAAAAAAAATGCTTTGATATTATTGTTTTTTTACATTACATTTAAAATAAAAAATAAAAATCAACCCAATAAGTACATTTCATTTTATTTTTAACATAAATGTTTTCATATTATTTTTTTCCCGTCCCCATATTCACCCCAAAATAATCTCACAAGTGACTTTTCATTGATCAGGTTCTGATATTCTGTGATATAGGACATCTTCCATTTTCTTCAATTTCTGCACATGGCTTATAGCAGGGATGTCCAAACTCTGTCCTGAAGGGCTGGTGTCTTGCATATTTTAGTTCCAACCCCAATTAAACACACCTGAACCATCTAATCAATCTCTTTCTAGGCATACTAGAAACCTCCAGGCAGGTGTGTTGGAGGAAGTAAAACTATGGAGGACACCGGCTCTCCAGGATAGAGTTTTGGAATTTAGAGAAATTTAAGGCACTTAAAAAGTATTAAAAAGTCCTGAATGCTATTTTGCATGGTATTCAATTTGATATCAGTATGCTAAAGTTTGCCTGAATTTAATCTTTGAATATCAGGATGCTGTGAAGTCCATAAAATAAAAAAATCCTGCAAGATTTAACATCACGCTGCTTTGTTTACTGCAGTGACCAGCAAAACAGTGTTATTCCTGCTGTTGTAAAGGCACCACCTGCTGGATTAGCATTTTTATTCAGTATACAAACAATGTTTTAGTTTAGGACTAGTTTCCTACTATTCCTTACTGTTTCCTACTATTTAGTAAATATACTGCAAGTAAAAATGTCAACAATGCTACTGGTTGAAATCTAAATTGTTGATGACGTCTTAAAATCTATGCAAAGAGTGTTGAAAGGTATTGCATTTCAATCCCTGATGCCTGTACAGTATATAGCCTGTATATCTACTAAAAGACAGAAAATATTACTGTACAAACTGCATTGTAAATAAATCATATGAACATTTTAATATTGTTATTGTTTTATCACAATAATATTAGTGAAATTAATTTTAAAACTAAATAAATATATATGTACACATATTTACACAAGTAAATACATATACTCTAAGATGGGCTAAAAATCTGTGTATTTCTGCGCACGCAGATTCTGTGTGGGCCTAACTAATGAATTGAATTAGTTTAGACTAATAAGCTTATTTGTGCACAGCTTATATGAAGATTTCGTTTCTTTTGCTTTCCCTGTAGCAGAAGCTGAGCATGTGGATGCGGGACTGGCCGTGGCTGATCTCCACTCTCACCCTCACCCGCTGCTGGATCCCAGCATGCCTGGGCCTCTGCCGCCAGGCCTGGGCGACCACGACCTCCTCACTTGTGGCCAGTGCCAACTAACCTTCCCACTGGGGGACATTCTGCTCTTCATCGAGCACAAGAAGAAGCAATGCCAGGCTCTGACGTCCGGCCACGGCTGCTACGACAAGATGGCGGACCGCAATAGCCCCTCGCCGCCCCGCGCCGAGCTGAGGAAAGTGGTGGAACCGGTCGAAATCGGAATCCAGGTGACACCTGAAGAGGAGGACGAGAGACTGTTGACGCCCCCAAAAGGAATTTGCCCCAAGCAAGAAAGTGGCCTGGCAGGTAGGTCAAACTCTACTCCAGAAAAGTTTCGAGCTGGCGCTAATGAACTCACACACTTTCTCGCGCCAGCCTGTTTTCTAATACTTGAAGTGCGCAAACATACACTTAGAGCCTGCAGAGTTGCAGACAAAGGGAGACACGCACTCATTTACCTCGGTAGGACTCTGGGCGTCCTGTAGTGATTGTGATACCGCTCATCTGCGAGCCTCAAGAGAGATTGTTTTTCCTTCAGCTGATTTCATTAGGGGAGCCTACGCCGTGCAAAGTGAAACATCACATTACTGACTCAAAGCCCTAAAACCCCCTGAAGGACTCTGGTAGTTGAAACAAATTGTGCAAGACGTGACAGAGAACTCACCCTACTTTCATGGAGAAATCCAGCCTGAGCCATCTGCTTAAAAGGTGAAAAGCTCATTAAAATTCAAATGCTCCAAAAAAAAAAAAGAAAAAAGAAAGAGGGAGAAAGAAATAGAGTAGGATTAAAAGAGTGAGTTTCCTATTGAATAGGGGTAAAGAGGCAGTTTAGTTTAGTCCAGCTGTAGGGAGAGAAGTCTCCCAGTTATCTTACAAAACAGCGCAGTCAAGTCCTTCACAAAGAAGCCGGGGGGATCTTGGGAAATGGGTCTCATAAAATAATATTCTAGGTTGGACAAAGTTACCGGGGGAAACGCAGGGGAGCGGCTTATGACACTGCCTCGGTTTTTAATAACGTCGTTTTTTTTTTAATGCCTCACAATCCTTATTTGCGAAAGATACCCGCGGCATCCGAGACAATTTATTCCGTGCCACCACAATGCCTCGTGTATTTAAATGTCTGTAATAATGAGGCCGCTGCTAAATTACTCAGTACCTCACATGATGCAGGCAGACTTCACTCCCAGACTGACTGACTGGCTGCTCGCGCCGAGAGAGAGTGTTGGCGTCAGTTGTGAAATATGATTCAAGAAGCGTCCACACAGTTACGCGCAAACTGTTCCACTACAGTTCGTCATCAATGTTTCCTTTTTAAAGACTGACTGCTAATCATGTGCTTTGCCAGATGTACAATTCACTAAGCAAAATTAAACATTAAGTCGGGATACAGCTACTATACTATATTTTGTATGCATTATGTACAGAATTCTTTATGCTTTAATGTTTTTTAATTTTTAATGTATTTATATTTTAAATTTAGTTTATTTTTTTTTAAATAATGCATGCATAAAGATGTTTACTTTAAGATATTTCAGATGTTTGTATGTGAGGTTTAAAGGTTTTTATGTGTTCTAATTTAAGACAAGCATAAATTAGAAAAGTCTTTGTTGACTGTTTACTGTACATCAAAATGAGCCAAATTTTACTCTTATAGTTTAACTATGTTAATAATTATTAAAGTCAGTGCCACTTGCTGATGATACTTGGTGGGTGTTACAGAATGTATATACAGTATATACAATACAAATATGGAAAACATTCAGAGACCGATTGATGACAGCTGAATGACGATCAATTTGTTGTGATTGAAAATCAGGCTTGTTCCAAGTTAAAACTTGAATTCTAAAGTTAAAACATTGTTTTTGTGTGGTTTCGAAAAAGGAACATAGACATGGCCAAAAACATGACACATTTTCTGTTATTTTTTGCAAAAAAATGCTTTTAAGGACATTTTTATTTTACATTAGGACCAAAAGTCACCAGTACAATCACAAACATGTTAAACAAAACATTACCTTGTATGTCTAAGGATAAAAGGAGAGACATCACACATTTTCTCCTAGTGAGAATTAAATGTAAAATAGTGATTACCCTACTAATATTATTTCAGTCAGTGCCATATAAATTACTACGTCTTTTCATCTCGACCCACCTTTATTGATTTATATGTAAGATTTTATTTAGCTTTTTTTAACAAATATAGTGACAAAACATGAAAATGAGACAATGTTTTTTCTTTAAGAAATTTTAGAGGTTTGTATGCGTTCAAAAGAAAAGATACACAAGCATAAATTAGATCATTATTTATTATCATTAGTCATTAATCACAGGAAAGCAACAGTAATGTAACATTGTTAACTGTACGTCAACAAAAGTCAAATTTTACTCTTATAGTTTAACTGAGTTATATAATTATTAAAGTCAGTGTCACTTGCTGATCACTCAGCATAATTGAGTACACCTTATTTTGAAAATTAATATTTTATCCATTTCTCAGTGAATATAGGCAAAGTATTTTGGAGGATTTAAGCAAAATAAATTTATTAAACAGATATATTTATTAAAATAATATTTTAGTCACCAAACATATTTAGAAATTGAAAGATAAAACAATTAAATTCATGCAAAATATTGCAAAAAAAAAGTTTAACCTACAAAATTTCAACTAATTTTTTCAATTGTTTTGCTTCTCTTGATTTTTTCTCCTTTTCTCTAACACAAATTTGGGTGCACTCGTTTTTGGACCCTTATCGTAAGTTATTTTGTTAGATAAGCTCCAGATCCATGTTTTGCTTCCTATTAAAAATATGAATTTAAAAGAAATTTGTGAGGCGTGTACTTATATATGTTGAGCACTGAATGCGGTGTGTGTTTGTAATCTTTTTAAATAATTTTGTAAAAAAAATATATATAGTACAATTTGGAAAAAAACATTCATAGACGATTGATGATAACTGAATGAGAGTTTGTTGTGAATAATCAGGGTTATTCTACCTAATATTGATGAATCTTCTGAAGTTAAAACATTTGGATTGTGTTGTCTACAAATGATCATAGACATGCTCAAAAACATGACACATTTTCTTTATTTTGTGCAAAAAAACCTTTACATTTTTATTTTACATTTGGATGAAAAGCCACCAGTACAAGCTGTGTTTTTTTTTTAATGTAAACTCTAAATATATAGATTTAGTGCTCTCAACAAATTCCCCTTTTCTTAATGGTAAACAAAACATTATCTTGTATGTCTAAGAATAAAAAGGAAAAACATTTTATTCTAGTGAGACTTAAAAATAATATAGTGATTACCCAGCTAATGTTATTTCAGTCAACGCCATACAAAATTAGTACATCTCTCTTCATCTCGACCCACTTTGTGCCAAAATCGGCACTGAAAAGTAGTTTTAATCTCATTTAAACTTCAGATTTTGAAAAACGGGATATTAAAATGAAAGGTGAACATTTGCCTTTGTAAATCATATTGCATTTAGCGAGAGTAAATTTTACACCTTTCATTAATTCAGGGCTGTAGAGGAAGGCAGTTCTAGGAGAAGAATATAACAGCAGATGAAACATCCTCTGAAAGTGATTAAGACGCTTGAATGTCAGCTTGAGCATGCGGCTAAACACTCACAGGCTGCCTTGTATTCATAATTGCCTCCCAGCAGGTTAAAGTATTCTTTTATGCTAAACCTTTCCCGTTCCATTTGTTCTCGACGTGAGACAGAAATGACACGCAAAAAAAAAAAAAAAAACACTCAACCACTCCGCCTTGAAAATAGCAGTGGTGCTCTTGCATAGATCATTTTTCATTTTTTCTACTATAATATATCCATCTGCCAGCTTCAAGTGGAGAAATGAAAGAGAGCTTGAGAAAGCGGTAGAGATGCTGATGAGGAACATCACTTCTGGATCCTTCAATAAGGTTCCTCTGATCAGACCAACATTATTAAAGCAAGAGACCCTGTACTTCCAGACCTTTTTTGTTGTGTTTGAGTGTATTTCGATCTCTTCATTTAAAGAGCTTCTATTTTGCATTGTACAGGGTCACATTTGTGGTTTTGGAGGTCTCCAACAGTTTGATAGGCATGCAAGGTCAAAAAACACTTTCATTTTCTTATAATATGTTTTTATTTTTACCTAATTCTCCCAACGACTCCCATAAGATCTGTTCAGCGATTGACCCAGTCTGTTGTGATTGGTCGATTGCGCTCAGCGTGAGACAGAGAGAAACGCCCACCACAGCTATGAAGTAGCACACAGAGTATGTGAGAGCCCAATGCAGGAATGCAATAAAGCAATGCAGTTAAACACCAGCATGTTACTCTACTCCCAAACACAGTGGCAAAAGTTTTTGAAACTATTTTGAAAATTGACCATGCCACTTGGGTAGGTACAGCTGATGGTTGCAGTTGCAGCGTAGGTTATTGTATCAAAAATCAGAAAGAACAAATCAGCAGGAACAAGCACAACACTATGTTGGCTATACTGTGGTGTTGTTGTGAAAATGAACTTTAACCCTTTATTGCCCAAAGCAGAATCTCCATCTGTCAGTGATCTCCATCTTCGCGTCATGATCAGTTCCATGATTCCCTTTGCTCTGCTAGTTTCTGAAGGTAAAGGCTCGTTCGCGTTTTACCGGAACTGACACTTCATATTTGGTAATGTACTGTATCATATCAACGTCGACTCCTTTAAGCAAAAGAACTAAACCCAATTCGATTCATTTATTCAACTCTGAGTCGACTGTTTTGTTTAAGAATCAATAGTTTTAAACACGGTGCGCTTTCACTTAGTGTAGTCGAGTAATGCTGAAAATCCCACCACTTATTTAGCTCAGGTTTTAAGCCATTGAAGAACTTTTTACTAAAAGGTTCTCTAGGGAACCAAACAGTTTCTTCTAAGAACCATCTTTTTCATGGTGTGAAGTGCATTTTTATTATACAATAAACCCTTTTTTTCATCACTTTTGAGAGCCCTTTTCAAAACTTTTTGTGGAATTAAAACATTTGATGCAAGTAAAAGGTTCTGGTAACCATCAATGCCAATTAATCCCATTAATTTAGCCTTTTTTTCATGTTCGATTCTGAGATATATTCCCATTATCATTTCCAATATCACGGCTCATATCTTCTGCTTTATTTCGAGTCTTTATAAAAAAAAATTTCCAAATGATTTTTCGTTTTTTTGGCTGAGGTGCAGCAGCTTCATTAAGTCACATGCGTAAACGCTCTCCAGAGACTCCATAATGATAACTAAACATTGTGAGCTTTGCTCCAGAAAACCCGTAATCAGTTGAAAAAGAC